CTGCGATTTTGAGTTTATCTTGCTACCTTGTTTTAATTTACATCATTAAAACTCTTGATACGCTCCTATAAATCTGGAATGACAGATGGGAAACGGAACACAACTTAGTAGAGCTATGTAGGTGAGCTGTATTCTCAGTCTCGGCGTTTCTATTCACGTCTTTACGATATATATAAAAAAAAAACTGATGCGTACTTGTCATCATTAAATATTTTTGTCTCGAAGTCAAGATAATTAATACCTAAGATACAAAGTGCAGTATTTCTGACAGCTGTGCACTGTTCTTGTGAGTCTAATATTTTTCAGAAGGCTGTTAGATTTTACACCAGTAGCTAGTGTTCTAGATTTATCTTGAAGTTAGTGTAATTTGCTGGAATCAGAAACTCTAAATTTATATATATTTATATACCTTCAAACTCGAAGAACTATTGTTGCGTCCATATGGAAATACATACAAATGTGCGGTTTCACATTTTGTGTTTTGCAGTTTTTATGGCCGTTTTTACAATTACATATAAGGAAAGCAACTTTTCATGTCCTATAATAACCTTTCATTAATCATAATCCTTGTCACACCAAACATGCTCGCCCTTTCAGCCGTGGGGCGTTATAATGTGACGGTCAATCCCACTATTCGTTGGTAAAAGAGTAGCCCAAGAGTTGGCGGTGGGTGGTGATGACTAACTGCCTTCCCTCTAGTCTTACACTGCTAAATTAGGGACGGCTAGCGCAGATAGCCCTCGTGTAGCTTTGCGCGAAATTTAAAAACAAACAATCATTAATCGTAAATTTACATAACTTCCGTCCAGGGGACGGGTACTCTAGCTAGTCTGAAATAACCTTAGAATTCATCAAATTATCGCTACAAAACAAATGTAATCCCAGGAACTGTAATATAAGCTGATGTGTTTTAAACTGAGGTGAGACGTTAATGTTTAGATGAGATAATCCTGTGGATTATCAAATATAAATGGTACAGTAACCTAATCTTTGGAATCATAAAATATGGATATTAAAATTATATAACACTGGAAATCACAAAGTATCCATTTGAACTAAGATAATGATTGAAAAACAATAAATGTTAAACAGGATTTATTCCAGGAATCATAGCATTTAAGTAATAAACTGTGAAAATTCTGGAAACCAGGATATGTTAAAACTGTATCAAGGTAATTCACAGAAATATAAAGATTTCTTTTTGTTTGTTCACGTGAACAAAAGATTATATACGTAAAGGGTTAGACAGGAGGTCAGAATGTTTCAACCATAGCCATTCCTGCGGACAAGAGGATTTATTTAGCTGTTTGTTTTTGAATTTCGCGCAAAGCTACACGAGGGTTATCTGCGCTATCCGTTCCGGAAGGCAGCTAGTCATCATCACACATCGCCAACTCTTGGGCTACTCTTTTACCGACGAATAGTGGGATTAACCGTCACATTATAACGCCCCCACGG